ATCCCACACAGCACCACAGTGGTCCATTGCTACAATTAGTGGACATGCCAACACATTATTATCACCAGAGGCATAGTTTACTGTAGAATTCATTTGTAGTGTCATGCTGTAGGTTTGGACACTTAGAAGGCAAGTGCCTGCCATGGTATTGTCGTCCAGCAGTCTCCCTGCCATGAGCATCGTCTATGCTCCCTTGCTCATCCTTCCCTCCCCACCAGATCCTGGCAACCACCAATGTTTTGGTTGTTTGCCTCTGACTTTTTGCCTTTTCCAAAACTATATGGTTGGAGTCATACAACAGATTTTTCAGAGTGAATGCTTTTACTTAGTAACAGGGATTTAATGTTTCCTCCATGTGTTTTCATGCTTTGATCACTTTTTTTAAGTGTTAAGTAACTATCCATCAATCATCTGGCTGTTCCAAAGTTTGTTTTTCCATTTGCCTGCTGAGGGACATCTTGGTTGCTTTTAAATTTTGGCAATTATGAAAAGAGTTGCTATAAATATCCATGTGCAGGTTTTGTGCAGATGTAAGTTTCTAATGCCTTTGGGTAAATCCCAAGTAGCATGATTGCTGGACCATGTGGCAAGAGTAAGTTTACTTCTGTAAGAAGCTGACAAACTGGGCTGGGGATGTAGCTCAGTGGCAGAGGACTTGCTTTGCAAGTGGAATGCCCTGGGTTTAACTTTCAGTACTACAAAAACAAAAAAAGAAAGTGATAAACTGTCCTCCAGAGTGGCCATAGAATTTTGCATTCCTTAGTAAGGACCATGAGCTCCTCTTGTTTGTGTCCTGCCTAAGCCCCTGTTGTCTCCTAAGTGGTGGGGTGACAGGAGCATCTTCTGCATTGCTTTTCTACACTCATGTCCTTTTCTGGTCTGTAACCCAACTCAGGATCCATTTTTCCTTTAGCAGTCATGTCTCCCTAGTCTCCCTCAGTCTGGGATGGCTCCTTAGTCTTTCTCCTTCTCCCAGGTCTGACACTTGAAGACTGTTCCTCCATTACTTTGTAGAATGTCCCTGTTCTGTGTTGGCCTGGTGTCTTTCCATGAGTAGATTGATTGAGCTAATTCTCATGATGATGCATTTTGGCAAGAATGCCACAGCAGCAAAGTCTCTTTTGAGTCCCTGCTTTCAATTCTTTTGGGTATAGACCCAGAACTGGAATTTCCAGGTCACATAATAAGTCTGTTTAACTTTTTGCAGGCCTATAGACTTTTAGGGTTTCTCACATAGGTGTCTCCTTGCATACCACTGTTGCTCAGGGTCGAAGTGGTGGGATGGTCCCTGGGGATTTGACATGGGAGATCTCCTTGGTGGGGGCAGGAGTTAAGGAGTCCACTGACCATGTTAAGTGTTAAGTAACTATCCATCAATCATCTGGCTGTTCCAAAGTTTGTTTTTCCATTTGCCTGCTGAGGGACATCTTGGTCACTTTTAAATTTTGGCAATTATGAAAAGAGTTGCTATAAATACCCATTTGCAGGTTTTGTGCAGATGACTGGCCTCCCACTGCATGGCAATGGCAGGGAGGACATGGACCTTCCCATGTCCCTCAGAAACCCTCTGCTTGATAACATGGCTTTCTCACATCCCCGCCGACCTCACTTAGCAACTGTCTGGTCCCAGGATGGCTCCATTCTGCATATCTCACCCATGCCGGAGGAGCCCAGCCGAGACCAGCCTGAGGACAGGAAAGACTTCCCGCGGGGCCCCCAAGTTGAGCTGCCCTCAATGCCACTGGAGAGAGACAGGTAGGTGAGATCCAGCCTGGTGGAGACCAAGGCCATGAATCCCAGGCTCTTGTTTGGCAGGTGGCCTGAGGCTGATCTCAGAGCCAGTGCTTCCTCTTTCCTGGAGTGTCCAACTTCTGTTGCTTGAGAGATCCTTGTAAGAATAACAAATTGCCCTAGGAGATGACCACTGAATGGCGTAACTATGAGGTTAAACATTTAAATAAAATAAATAAAAACATCAGGACACTTTACCCCTAGATACAGTAATGTACAGTTCCCTCTAAAACCACAATGTAAATAATTATTCTCAACAAAATTAGTGATGCTTTTGAACATCATTTTATATCTTGCCTGTTGTCAGATTTCTCCAAATTTTACCCCAAACGCCTCTGCAGCTGGTTTATTCAAACCAGGAGGCCGTGAAGTTTCAATAGAAAGCCCAGGTCTACCTTTGTCACCTTTGGGCAATGAAAATCCCAGGGCTCCAGGCAGAGGTGGCCTGGTTCCTTCAGTATATGGGCATATGCAAGCATGTTGGTGTGGCAGTGTGCGCTCTGCATGTGCACGTTTGTGCATTTGTGAGTGCATGAAGTTGTTTGAGTTCACAAGCTTCATATGCACACAAGTGTACACACACATTCATCCATGCAAGCACACACATGTGTTTGTGTGCAAATGTTAGTGTGCCTGTGTACATGGGCACATGTGTGTCTGTAGGTGATGTGTGCATGTTTGGGGGAACAGTAAGAGGACAATCCCTCTCTTTCCCATCTTGATGATCATGGCTGACACTCTATAACAAAAGCAGGTTAACAGGAGACAAGCATAACCAAATTATTTATTTATTTATTTAGTGGTATTGGAGACTGAACCTAAAGCCTCAAGCAAGTGCTCTACCATTGAGCAATACTTTTCAGTCCTTTTTTTAAATTAAATTTTTTATTCTTTTTTTTTTAGTTGTAGATGGACACAATATCTTTATTTATGTATTATTATGTGTTGCTGAGGATCAAACCCAGTGCCTCACACATGCAAGGCAAGAACTCTGCCACTGAGCCACAACCCCAGCCCCTTATTTTTTAATGGTAATTTTTATTGATGCATTATAATTATATATAATATTGGGATTCATTTTTACTTATTTGTACAAGCACACAGCATAATTTAATCCCCTCTCCATCCCTTTCAAAATTTTAAGTCACCCAGACTGGCCTGAACTTACAATTCTCCTGCCTAAGCCTCCCACATCACTGGGATTATAGGTGTGTGCCACTGTGCCCAGCCAGCATAACAAATTTACTTGATCATAGTCTTATGTAATACTGGAGGCTTCAGAATGAAGACCCAAAGACCCAGGGTGAACTCCCCATTTTTATGCTCAGGTCTGAAGAGGCAGGGACAGCCATGTAGAAACATGATTGGAAAAGAAGTGTGTGAGTTGATGGTAGTGAACTTGGGGGTGGCCCAGCCAGGCCTGTCTGTGCAGGCTCTTCGGGCCACTCTGCAGCATTCCTTCTGTAATAAGGGCCTGATGATCTGCAGTTAAGCCAGGCAGGTCAGAAGAATTTCTTTATTGCGGGAGTGTTGGGGGTAGGGGAGTTAGAGTAGCATTCTTATGTTTCATGGCTGGTTTGGGGACCCATCTTGGAGAAGAGGAATTCTGGTTTCTATGGCTTGCCTGGAGGAAAGAATGGTGGCAGAAGACGGGAAGGCCTCAGAGGCCTCCACATAAAGTGTCATTTTTTTTATCCCCAATGTGTGTCACGTGTGCACACATGTGCCTGTATCTGTGTCATGAAGGTGCATTGGGTTCGTGTGCACATGTGTATGTATGTGTATGCAAACACAGTGCCCTGGGTCCCGGTCCAGGCTACACACCTCTCTACTCCCCTGTGTCCTGCTGTCTTCCTGTCCTTAGCCCACACCTGGCATGAACTTGGTCCTTGGCCCATTGAATAAGCTCTGAGAACAGCTCAGAGGAGCGAGAGGAGGGGCTTCCCCTCCCTTCCCCAGAGCCAGACCTGGGAGCAGCCAGGACTGTGGTGAGTCTGGGCTGAGCTCCCTCCGAGCTGTGCACAGGAGCACAGTGAAGTGTCCAATGTGCACAGGAGTGAGTGTGCAGCTGGAATGCCAGCTGTGTTGGAAGTCAGGCCCTGCCAGCCCTGAACCTCACCTTTCACACCAGGAAGCCACCCGGAACCTCAGAGCCCCGGGGTTCATTTGTGGGTGTGGTCGCTATCTCCTTGGCTAAGTGACTAAAATCAATCTCTAACCTTCTCCCCTCACTGGAAGTCCACTGGCCCAAAGTCCCAAACTTTCTGGCCACAAGTTTGGTAGCCAGGCCTACCAGGAGCCAGCTTATCAGAGTGACCAAGACCTCCCTGTCATTAGCGACAAGGGAGTGGTCTATGAAGGTCTGTGCAGGATCAAGAGGGGCCCAGCGGGCAGATATCTTCACTGTGCCTCACCTGTCCTGAGGTGGGTGGGTCTTCTGCTCACTTTTTTATTGTCTTAACCGCTTGCCCATTGGGTGGTGTGTTCTTGGACGGAGTGTGGGACAGGGCCTAGTCTGCCAAGGACGGTGCGCGCCTGGTCCTAGGGATAGGCATGGCTACAGTAGGTGACCAGTGCATAATGTCAGGTGAATGAGCTCAGCTTGGCTCCTACCACAGAAGCCTGGCCACAGCCACCACTGTGCCCTGGTGCATGACACCACCACTCTGCCCCCATGTGTGGGCCACAGCCTTGCGGCCAGAGAAGAAGCCGAGGCTCAGGCTCAGGCTGGTCCCTGGATGTATCAGAGGGCACAATGGTCCTACTTGTGCCTCCACTTCATCCACAGTGATGGTAACAAGTCATCAAAAGCCACGCCATTGAAAAAGCCAGGAAAGCAAGACTGTCTCCTCCCTCCGCCGTCCCTCCGAGTGCTGCTGACTCCTCCCATCCATGAGGTCGGTGTGCGGTGCTCAGTGGGGCCTGGACTGTGCAGAGGCTCCTCACTCCCCAGCACACCCTCACACTCTCAACCAGAGCTGCACAGGGCCAGGGGCGAATGGGTGGGGCATCCAGAGGGAGGGCCATCCATCCTCCTGCAACCATCAGGATGGTAGCCTGCACAACACTAGAGGTTAGCCTGTGACAGTGTCCTGAGGCTGCTTCAGGTCCAGCATCAAACACAGGGCTACATCCTCTCGAGTTCCGAAGGCTGAGAGTCCAAGGTAAGTGTCTGGTAGGCCGTGCTCCCGCCCAGGCCCCGGAGGAGGAGCCTTCCTGCCTGGTGGCTCCTGGTGGTTCCTGGCTGCAGCCACACAGCCCCATCTCCCCAACGTCTTCCTGTGGCTCTGCCTTTCCCTTCCTGTAAGGACTGCAGTCCCTGGATTACAGCCCATCCTGAATCCAGGATGCCCTCCTCTAGAGAGCCTTAACTAAGAACACCCGCAGAGATCCTAGTTCTGCATAAGGTCCCCCCAGGTCCTGAGCAGATGTGAACTGGCGGCATCCTGTCACCCTAGTGCTGGCTGCTCCCACTTGGCGATGAGGCCATCTTTCTCCTCAGCTTACAAAGTAAGAAAATGAGACACAGGTACTGGAAGTAACTGGCTCTTCCCCCTGCGGCTGGCTGTGGTGGCTCTGCAGGATCTTCCTTTGCTCATAGTAGGTTGGGGTGATGAAAAGGATTACAAGAATGAAGGAGTTAAAAGCATCAATGTGCTCCTGTGTCCTCCCAACTTGCTTTTTAGCTTTCCTGGGGTGTGGGCACTTTGGGGCTCAGGAACCAGCCAGATCTGGGCTCAAATTGCACTGTATCCTTTGCTAGCTTTGTGACCTCAGACAAGTTACTGCACGTCTCTGTGCTGTTTCTTCACCTGTAAAATGGTGAACGTAAGGGTCTTATTGTGGTGCCAAGTTCAAGAAAAAGCAGTCTAACAACTCAGGGAGCAGTGCCTCTCCTTTCCCTGTGTGTCTCTTGAGGAAGGCTGACCAGGCCCACTCCTCGCCCACCCCTTGCCCTGACATACTTGGTGCCTCCTCGTTCTCACTGCCCTCTTATTCCTATTTTTGAGCCTCTCTCTATATGGCTTGAATTTTCTTTCTTCTCTCCCATTTTCTCTGCTTCTCTTTATTGTGTAGACCAGCCTAACTTTGCTCCCAGAAAGCAACAAGTCTCCTCTTTCTCTAGGGGTTGGGGAGGGGCGGACAGTGAGAGACAGAATGGCAAATATGAGACTCTTGCAGGGGGTGGGCTTGGTGAAGGAGAATCCCTGCAAGTCAGTGATTTGGTCTTTTCCCACGAGCAATTACGTAAAAGCTATTAGTGCTCGTTATGACTACGAACAGAATGAATGAGCAGGCTCCGACACATCCCACTGCTGCCCGCTATGGTGAGGACGCCCCATCCCCTGACGCCACGGGGCGCTGCAGGGCCGCTCTGCAGTGCAGAAGTGCTGGGGAACTCCTGCCTGGAGAACTCTTGGTCAGTGACCCTGGGAGCCCCTCCCTGTGGTGGCAGGACCCCACACCTGAGTGCCAGTCTTACTCCGGGGTGCCCCACACATTCAGCACAATCACCAGAGTGGCACTGTCTGGTCACACACCCTCCTTAACCATGTTACTCCCCAGTATCTTTCCCCCTTATAAACTACCTACCTGGAGTCATTGTCTCCAGGTCTGCTCTGGGATAGTAGTGACACTTGGGGACAACAGTCCCATCTAGGGCCTCTGACCACTCTGTGGGTATTGCCTTCCTACAGAAGCCAAGCTCCCTGAATATGAAGAGCCTGCTGTCCAAGGTGTACCCCCCAGCTGGGGTGGAGCTGGGCACCCTGTGGCCAACAGGGGAGGCTGGCAGCCTAGCCCTGAGCACCCAGGTGCTCAAGGAGATGGCCCTGGGCACCAAAAGCATTGCCCTCATTGCAGCCAGCCGACGCTCCAAAGCACAGGATTGGGAGGGCAACAGCAGGCGCTCCTCCCGCCACCTCCTAGAGGAGGCAACCCTGGATTCCAGAGACCCGAAGCCCAGCACCACCCCTGACCCCACCCTGGCAGATAGGAGCTGGCCCCATGCCAGCCCACGCAGGGACCATTCCATGGAAAGGAAGTCCAGGAGGAAACGCTCACCCTCGCTTACCTGGAGCGTGCATTCGGTAGGTGCTAGGGCACTGGAGGAGGACAGGAGGGCAGGTCAGGGACACTGAGTCATGGTTGACACGGGAGGCCCCAGTTCCTCACCTGTCCCTCAGCAGTTTCAAGCTCATATGTGATCTTGAATCACATGTGTCCATGTTCCATTCGAGAGAGAGATTGAGACTTATTACCAGGAACTGGCTCAGGTGATCATGGAGGCTGGAAAGTCCCCAAATCTGTAGGCTGAGTCAGCAGCTGGAAGCCCCAGAGAGTCAGTCTCAATTCAAGGCTAAGGGTGGGAAAAAGTCAATGGCCCAGCTGGAGGAACTATCTCTTATTTGGGGAAGGGCCTGCCTTGTGTTCTGCTGAGGTCTTCACGTGATCAGAGGTGGCCCACCACATTAGGAGGGCCATCTGCTTTTCTCATCCAGATGTTACGCTCACCCAGAAGCACTCTTCCAGACACCCCCAGAATAATGTTTAGCCAAGTATCTGAGCACTCCGTGGCCCAGACAGGTTGACGCACATAACTGACCACTGCCCTGGGTTTAGACGAAAATTCCCACTGCTAGAGGACTTTATAAGGGGAAAGGGGGACTCACTGTTAGAAAAGGGTCATTTATTCATTCAGTGGGGACTGAGGAGATTAGTAGGAATTCTGCACATTTTGTACCTAGAGGCTCACAACAGTCTGTCACACGGTAGCTGTTTAATCAGTGCTCCCCTTGCCATCCTGTCCCTTCAGCACCCATTCCTCACTCCACACCACACCTGTTGTGTGACCTTTCCTGCAGGAGAAACTTCAGCCCCACTTTGTGGAGCACCTGGTGGACAGCCAGCTGCCCCCAGCGCACCTTCAGCAGTCAAAGTCGCCAGGAAAAAGCTTTCTCCCTGCTGTCCCCGTGGCCTCCAAGATAAAACCCAGCCTCAGTTTCCACACAGGTACGGCATCCAAGGCAGAAAACAGCATGTCAGTTTTTTCTGTATCCTATGACACTGTCCCTCCTTCCATATGAGCATCTTAGAAAGTATGAAAGGCTGCCCCGTGATCAGCTGTCCCGGTGAGCTGGGGCCACTGGCTTCCTGAAGATGGGGCCGTGGGCTCGCCTTGAGCCTGCCGACTCTCCAGATGGCGATTGAGATTGGGTGTAGTCCCCAACTCTATGTGCCTGTGCTCCTGTCCTAAAGGCCAGTTAGTGAGGTCAGAGGGTGGCTCTTTGGGTGTTATGATAAAAACAGTTAACTTTATTTTGCTACGTAGATCAAAATTATACATGAGAAGAACCATTTATGAACCCTACCACCCAGAAGTAGTCACCAAGAATAGTATCCTGTCTCTGCCATTGATGTGAATAGCCCCTCCCCTTACAGGAAGTCAGGGCTGTGTGTGATTCATCACCACCGCAAACGTGGTGACCTGCAGCAGAGGTCAAGACCAAGTATTTGAGAATACAGTACAAGTTTGGTGGTACCATGACTCATGACCAATGGCTTAGTTCTATATTTTTGTTTACTGATTTATTTTTGCAGCATTAGAGATTGAACCCAAGGGGGCTCTACCATGAGGTGTATCCCCAGCCCTTTTTGATTTTTGAGACAGGATCTTGCTAAAGTTGGAGACTGGTCTTGAACTTGTGATCCTCCTACCTCAGCTCCCCAAGTCACTGGAACCACAAGTGTGCCCTACTGTACCCAGCTAGTTCTGTATTTTAAAAAATGCTATATTTTGCTAGGGGCAGCGGTGCATGCCTGAGGCAGGAAGATGGCAAGTTTGAGACAGAAGAGACTGTCTCAAAATAAAAAATAAGAAGGGTTGAGGATGTGATTCAAAGTGTCAACCCACAGAAGACTGTAAGGAAGTAGAGCAAGCTCCTCCTCACCAAGGTGGCTGGGAGCACCAGCTGACCCTGGGGTTACATGATGGTGCCCATTTACTGAGCACACACTGCACCAGGCACTATGCTATGCACCCTTCAGGATGCATCTTTATCCTCATAATAGTCCTGTGAGGTAAGGAATGGCCCCCTCTATGTTATATGATGAGTAAACTGAGGCACAGAGATGTTGAGGAGTTTGCTCAAGTCCACACAGCTGGGAGTGGCAGAGTTGGGACTTGAAACCAGGTGAACTGGCTCCAGATTGCTAGTTCATGACCACAGTTCCATGTCCTTTTGTTTTTACTTTATAAAGGTGTGGTCTCTGGATCAGAGGGTGTGCACATTGGGGGGTTATGGATGGTATTTCAAGGACAGTGGAAGCAGACATTGCCAGGTTTACTGTCCACCTTGCCACAGACATGCAGCTTGGCACTTCAGAAGTGTTTGATCCTGATGACAAAATTGACAGAATGAAGTCATCAGCAGTGTGTGTGTGTGTGTGTGTGTGTGTGTGTGTGTGTGTGTATGTGTGTTTGGTATCAGGGATTAAATTCAAAGGCACTTAACTATGAGCCACACCGTCAGTTCCCCCCTTTTAAAAATATTTTTAGTATTTATTTTAAACAAGGATGGAAAGAAAATATTTTAAGTGACACAATGAACTTAATCCATGGAAAAAGTATACATAGTTGATATTAGAATATACATATCTTTGGGATTTTTTAATTCTTTTAGTCATGTATCACAGTAGAATCTATTTTGATATGTTTATACAAGCATGAAATGTATCGATATTCTAATTAGGATTCCAGTTCTTAGGGATGTACATAATGGTGAGATTCACTGTGGTGTATTCATATAGGTACATAAGAAAGTTATGTCCAATTTGTTCCTCTGTTTCTCCTACTCCTATCCCTCTTCCTTCCGGTCATTCCCCTTTATCTAATACACTGAACTTGTATTCTTCCTCTACACATTTTTATATACAACTAATTGTTTCTGTAAAAAACAGGTAATGAGGGCTGGGATTGTGGCTCAGTGGTAGAGCACTCATCTAGCACAGGCGGGACCCGGGTTCGATCCTCAGCACCACATAAAACTAAAGGCATTGTGTTGTGTCCTCTACACCTAAAAAATAAATATTAAAAAAACAGGTAATGAATTATATATAAAACTGATACCAAATTGTGGGGGGAAAACTATCAAGCTATTTTTACCCAGCTTTAGGTGAGTCAAAGATTTTAATAGAAACCACCATGTTACATGATCATGTCTTTGGGCATGAGCAGGTGCCGCAGTCCGGCTGCAGCAAAATAACCTGGGGGTGACGAGGAACTTGTGTAGATTGATACAGCAGGAGTGGAAGCCATTTATTGTAGGACAATAGAGGTATTTATACATTCCACACAGCTTATTAATTAGCATAAACTAGATACAGCAGTCAACCAATAAGGAATCTCCACACTTAATGGCTCGCTGGCGTTACTTCACAAACCACTCCCTCTGGCAAAATGCCAGGCGCCATCCTGACTTGTTTACAGACTCTAACAAGCAGGAGCAGAATGAGCATGTTCAGAGGATGCTTTCCTGTTTCCATTATGTAAGCTATGCATAGTGAAGAATAGGACCGGGAGAAGCCAAGTCCTCTTCATTCTCACCTTCTATGAGCCCAAACTCTCCCATCATGTATCTCTATGTCTATGTCAGACCCCCAATTCAAGCAAAATGCAGATTGTTAAATCCATAATCAAACCACCAAAGAAAGTAGACGAAATTTATACAGAATTGTTTCCCTGATGAGTTTAGATGTTTTTCATGTTTCTTAACATATTTTTGCATACCTGGGCTTGTGGATGCAACTTAGGAACCAAGTTCACCTTTTTATTTTTTATTTTGAGACAAGGTCTTGCCAAGTTGCTTAGGGTCTCATTAAGTTGCTGAGGTTGGCTTGAACTTGAGATCCTCCTGCCTCTGCCTCCTGAGCCTCTGGGATTACAGGCATGAGCCTCCATGCCCAGCTTGTAGTACCATTCCCCACCCTCCAAACTTGAAACACTTTTAAAAACAAAATGTTCTTTATGGGATTTTCTGTTTTCAGGAGTAGCCCCCTTCCCATTATATGCTCTTAAAACAATGAAAAGTCACAGAGAACACAGAGTGGCCTAGAGTGGGAGCTGGGAGTCAGGGATGGGGCTGGCCTTCCCCAGCACTCCCAGCTGACAGGCAGTACACAGTGCCAGGCTCCAGTCATGCCAGGGGGTGTCCATGATAGCCCCTTCCTGGATCAGGGACTTAAAAATGCCTGTGCAATTATGTGTAACGGCTCAGCCTGGTGGGTGGGTATTCATATCTCCTCTAGAAATGAGCCTGTGGGGATGTGTTTGTATGTGATCAAAAATTACATTTTCTTTCCCCAACAGACTATTGTGAAATTTTTAAACATAGACAGGAGCTGAGACAATAATTACAATAATCTCCATGTACCCACCACCCAACTTGTTTCTTCTCTCTCTATACTTTTGTTTGTTTGTTGTTTGATTTCCTGGGGATGTCTCAAGAAAACCCAAGATCGTGCCATTTTATTTCATTTCAAGAGCTCCCTGACAATAGAGCTTTCCGTGTGGTAGATAGAAGAACAAAGAGCTGTTCCCTAAGATCATCTCATGCTATCTGCGTACAAAAGAAGACCAACTTTGCAGATAAGCAAGAGTAGTCTGCACTGGCCCTCTCAGTGGGCAGGAAGGGGCTGCTTCTCCAGGATCAGGCCGAATTCCTGCTGTCCTCCCCAGGAAGTGGCTCGATGCCCTTCTCAGTGGTGCCGACACAGTCTCTGTGGGGCCAGGGTTCTCAGCTCTACAGCTGTGGGGTTCTGTGATCAAAAAGTTAAGAGCTGGATGGTCCTTCAAGATCTGTAGCCCAGCTGGTTCAGGTGGGTAAACTGAGGCCTGGAGAGTAGAAGTGACATCTCTAGGGTCACATCAGGTATTGATGGCATGGTTAAGATTGGTGCCAGTGCTGCTCTCTCCACCTGGCTGCCGTGCTTCAAGAAAGAATGTACTTGTGTTTTCAGGTGTACTGAAAGGGCTGGCAGGAGGTGGGGCAGACCAGGTATCCCTTCTTGGCAGGGGCCAGACAGCTCTTCACTGCACATAGGTCCCCTGGGGAGCTGGAAGATCACAGATGTACAGTGTTTGCAGAAGGCTGGGCTCCCAGATGGCATCTTGGCCCAATGAGTTTCGAGAGCTGAGTGAGACAAGGAGGAAGAGTGTAGAACAACGCGACTTGGGCTTGGACACTCAGGGGGCTTCTCTGTAGGGTGATGTTGGGCAGAGACCTGAGGAAGTGGGAACCCAACTGGATGGAAGGGAGAGATGCCCTTCTCTCCCCACAGCCCACCCCCTGGCTTCCTTTTTTATTTGAGTATGTGCAATAAACCCAGCGAGTCCTCTTCTCTGCCATGTAACCACCAGCCAAGAGCAAGAGGGGATGGAGAAGGAAACACAGTTGCTGATGGGAAGAGACAAGAACCAAAAGCTGGGCTGGGGAGACTTCTTGAAGGACAGAGTGCAGGGGTTCACATAGAAAAACAATCCCTGGGGAAGTCCCAAGGAGGGGTTAGGCACAGAGCCTGACGTGGGGTGACTTCTTGGTATGTGTTGTCCATTCTTCAGTTTGATTTCCAGGAATCACTGGGTAGTGCTAATAATGATATCGTCCTGTCTTTGTTCAGATGAGAACACACTCCACGTGCCTGAAGTCAGCTTCACCTTCCCCAGCGCCATGTGGCAGAGCAGCA